TTGGATGAAGTACGCAGTCATGCCCTCTCCACAGCCGAGGTATGAAGTGTACATTCTATGATCACTGCCATCTGGCACATTCCAACTTCCCATCAGTGTAGAGCACTGTGATGTGTGTAGTGGCACTGTCACTATCACTATGACCCCTCCATTCCTACCCTGTCTGCTATCTTCCTAACTTGTCAACTTTCTACTAGTTTACCAGAATTCCGTGAGCCAAAAGAAGGCACGGGGTGGGTGCTGGAAGAGATGGAAGCGGTCGTCACCGGTTAACTAGCAGTTACAAATAGTAGAGTAGCTCTTGTGTGGTAGTTCTGGGGCGACGGCAACTAGAAGGGGGGAAGACGGGTTCATAGTGAACATGGTACGGGAAAGACTGAAAAAAATCAACAACCAGGAAAAATTTTCTCGTAATTCGGAACAGTTTCTCTTCTAGGGCGTATTTGACTTATTCCCTACTGATTATGGTTCCTGATGGGATTGTCCCTCCCCTCCTATGATGCCGCACTGACGGGCGTGAAAAGCGACGCCACCCCCAACAGGCGAGTTGTCCTGCCTGGCCGTTTGCATTTGATGTTAAAGCGGTGGGAAAATTCGATATCGCTCATCAGAGAGTCCTGCATCCGCTTGAACTTGAACGATCGCTGTTCCACTCAGTCTGATAAACATCGGGAATTTGCTGCGCATCGCCACGCTGCGCGCGACAACGCGTAATACACCGAGCGTCCTGTCCCTCTCACCCCCTCCCGGCAGGCTGCTCTTCTGCTCCTTCCTCGGCGAGACAGTACTCGAAGCAGATGTACCTACGTCTCCCGACGCCTCCCAGCATATCTCAAGATGGAGATTGATCAGTTTCATATGGAAAGGAGACGTGCATGAATCCACTGGGAAGTTCGGTTTTTGCTGCCTAGGACGCTCCGCAGAATCTAAAAGTCCCCTCGTCTATGAGCGCCCCACCAAATCAGACTGGCAGAAGATTAGCAGCAAGGCACGTTCTACGTTGGGGCCAGCCAAAGGAGGCGGGGATCGTATTTGGTTGCTGAACGAGTAGGTAATAGATAG